AGGGTTTGAATATTCTTCTTTCATAATCTGAAAAATAACTAGTCCAAGGTTTATATAGTGCCTCCCAACAGCTAATGAATCGAAAATACAAGGAAGGGGCCGAGCCCTATCTAACCCAACCCAGGCCCAAGCGGGTTTCTAACATATCCCATACAAGGTTTGTGTTTCCATGTGTATTGCCTTCCATAAGAAGATCCTTACTCATGATGCCTTAAAATGGAGGGGATGGGTTATTCCCAGTCGGTGCGTGCTCTGTGGTGCCAAAGAAGAATCACTCGATCACATGATCCTCTCCTGCAGCTTTTCGAGTGTGGTGTGGAGGATTATGGCTACTTTTGTGGAGTTACCTGAGAAAGCGATAGACATATCATCTAGACAGCTGATGAATCCCTGGAATTGGTGCACCAAAGTCTTCCTTCATGCTTTTTGTTGGCGAAGTTGGTTGGAGAAAAATTCAAGGACGTTCATAAGAGTGCTTCCACCCGGATTGTATGTCGTAAAATTGGCAGGGACATCTTCGAATGGTTGACTGCCGCTAACAAAGCCAACAGGAACATTGCAGATCATTGGTTTTTCATACTGAAGGCTCGCCTTTTCCCTGTGCAGCAACTGCCGTTACAAAAGTTGTAGAGGCCTAATTCTGGATTGTGTTGTTTCCAGGAATGTTTTTCTATTCCCTTTCCCGACGGAGGGCTACTGCTTTGCTTTCATTTAGCTTTCATGGCCATCACAATCCCTTTTCATTCTTGGAGGGTTCCTTTTTATCACTCTCCTCCTTTTTTTTTGGCAATCTGGCCATTTTTGGAGACTGTTATTAGTCTTTCACGCTGTGTTCTTGTTATTCTTATACTCTTGATCTTTTTAATAAATTATTTCAACATTATAAAAAAAAGGATATACCAGCGGAAGGAGGTGGGTTACGGACACAAAGTTGTGCATTAACGCCAAATAATATACCAATGAGAGTAATTTAATTAATAATAAGAAATAATTATAACATTTTATCATAATTAGTAAAATACTTGTGGAATTCATTTCCATCTCAAATCCTCGAAATTGCTATAACTTGCTCCAATTTCGTAATTTTGAAAATTTTGAATTGAAAATGAATGTTTTATATGAGATCTCCTACAGTAACTTAGGTATATTTTCAAGTTAGTTAACTCTTATAGATCTAAACCGTTAAAATTGACCAAACTTGTTTTAAACCATTGATTTAAGAAATAATAGTTAAAAGAATTAATGAGAACAAGGGTTGCCGGTCATCGCCCTTCCCGTTTACCTTTCTTGTTTTTTTCTTTCCTTTTTCAAATTTAGCTGTTTTCCTTATTTTAACCTTTCCTTATTTTTAATTCGTATTGAATTAGAAGCATTGTGTAAGGCTTTCGTATTGACTTAACATTTTACGTAACGCAAGTATAATACTCATTACGTAAAATGACCTTCTATTATGTAAGGCTTCCGTCATGACCTTTTACAACTGTTACGTAAAATAGACATTCATTATGTAAAGGTTACGAAACACAACTGTTACGTAAAATACACATTCGTTACGTAAAGGTTACGAAACAATAGTTATTTCTTATGTAACAGTAACATTGGAAGCGTTACGTAAGACTTTACTAATGACTTAGCACTTTACGTAACGCGAGGTTAATACTCATTACGTAAAGGGACCTTCCATTACGTAAGGCATCCGTAATGACATTTTACAACTGTTACGTAAAATACACATCCATTATGTAACGGTTACGGAATGACAGTTATTTCTTACGTAACATTTAAATCGGAAGTGTTATGTAAGACTTCCATAATGACTTAGCACTTTATGTACCACGAGGTTAATACCCATTACGTAAAAGGACCTTCCATTACGCAAAGGTTACGAATGACAACTATTCTTACGTAACAGTTAAATCAACAACGTTACGTGAGGCTTTCGTAATGACTTTATATCTTATGTAATGCAATATTAGTATTCATTACGTAAATTAACCTTCCATTACGTTAATAACCTTTTACAACTGTTACGTAAGATTACAATACGTTACATAACCATTATGTAATGCAATTGTATTTTATGCAATGCGACCTGTTAAACCTGCTATAGCAGGTTAAAAAATTCAAGTTACCTTATTTCAAATTACCTTAGGAAATCCCTATATACCAATCAAACACAAAAACATTTCATTTCAAAATGAATTTCTCAAAATGTATTAAAATGAATCTATACGAAACAAAGTAAGAGCACTTCTACTATGCTATATAGCATTGGTGCTTTAATGTACAACTCAAAGTTGTACCATAACATTAAATGTATAAGTTTAGGTTGTACCATAAAGCAATTTGTATCATTATGTTATGGTACAACTTTACAACTAGAAGTTGTACCATCACATAAATGTACAAGTTCAAGTTGTACCATAAAAGAATTTGTACAAAAAGTATATGTACAATCTAAAGTTGTACCATAACGTAAATGTACAATTTTAAGTTGTACCATAAAAACAAAAACCTATAACACCAATATTATATAACATTTGTAAAATTTCTCAACAAAGTAAATGCATTATGAATTGCCACAGTACAGTTTCTACATGCATGGAACCTTCTTACTGAGGTGAGGTGGCACAAAGTTTTCTTGGCAGGTTGAAATTGACATTGTAATCGACAGGACCATTTTGTTTATAAAAATGAAATTTGATGACTAATTCGATAGATTTTGAAGTTTAATGGTCACTTTGTCATTTACGCCAAATTTTGTTAACCATAAAAAGAATTCGTTGACCCTTTTAGACTTTTAATCCTAGGTTTCCAGCGCAGTTTTTTGGGGACAACAGCCCGATTAGACCAGAGTCCAGAAGTCTGCCTTGAAATGGGAAAGCAGTTTATTTGCGGGATAGTGAAAAGTGGAACGGTGGCTTACTTGCAGAATAATAAAATTAGAAATATGGGTAAGAAAAGTCATTAGTACAAACTCGTGCGCACTATATAATGCCACTGAGAAAAGGTCAAGGCCAATATATAAGTACTGTCTCATTCCTTTTTATTTTTGTGGCTAAAAGACGTATACTAGATAGGCTGAAAGTTAGGATCTTAGGTATTAGGAATTGGTCGCTTGGGTCGGGTGGGATTTTTCTAAATTCACACTTAACCTATTAAGTTTAGCGATGGAAAAGCTTTGGTGAAAATTGAAATAGTTATCAAGTGCTAGAGCCTAGAAGGGTGTACCATATTGTATCAATAGGGTATACCGTACACATAGGTTATACACATAGGTTATAGGGTACACAAATGTGTACGGCATGGGTGGAAACAACACGTAAAAGGTGGGTCTCAAGATCCATTAGACTATCCACAATGGTGGAAGGGAAAAAAGGAAAAAGAGGATGGGAAAAGTGGGGAAAAAGGATGGGGGAAGGATAATGGCCACAATAGGTGGTAGGGAAAAAAAGGTATTGGGGAGGGGTTTTTTTTTCAAAATCAATCTAGAGTTGATATGGTAACTTTATTTTGATAATTTATTCATTATTTTTATATAGGTAGTATTAATTAATTAAGACGAACATTTCGATATAATTTTTTTTAATTTGGACATAAAAAATTTTATCACTAAAATCCAATAACTCATAAAAATCCAATAAGAAAACCATAAAATTTTAAAAAAAAAAACACACCCACATGGTCCCCCTTCCCTTCCTCCTATCACCCACCTGGACCCACTTCCCCTCCTTCTTTTAACCTCTAGCGCAGGAGAAACCCTCCCCTTCTTTCCCTTTTATCTTTTTTTTTTTTCCATAATAGCCACCCCTATTGTGAGCCATTTTCTCCTTTTTTTCCATAATAGTCACCCCTATTGTGAGCCCTTTTCTCCTTTTTTCCCCTTTTATCCTCTTTTTCTCTTTTTGCTGTGACAGTCTTATGTCTCAAGAGAAAGAAAAAATATAAATTAAAGAATTGTTTAGTTTTGGTGATAGTTAAATTGATGTGTTGTTATTCATGTACCATATATATGTAATATGTATTTTCGATGGAACATTTGTTGGTGCATTTAATGATAATGATCATTTACTTAAAAAAAATATTGTTTAATTTAAGTGATAGTTATTTTAGTATTTAAAGAATTTATATAATTTTTGGATGAAATTTCACTTTTATCATTTTTAATATAAAAGAGCAACACATATAAAATGTTAGGACTTAGGATATAGTTGGAAAAAAACAAAAATAACAGTCTCAACAATCTCCCTAAAACTTAATATTTAATTATCACTCATTTTGAGTGATAATTTTTGTCACATCAAGCATACAATTCTTGTATTGTTTGTGCATAAATTTTTTAAATAAATGCACTAAAAACAATACAAACATTGTAACAATCTCAACCAAATTATCACCAAAATCAAACGACCACTAAATGATTGTTTGGTTTCTGTGTGTGTTAAATTCATGGATTATAATGAATACAAACCTATTAGGTTTATCAATAAAATATGTATAATATTCAATACAACGTAATATATAATACCTCTAAATGATTGCGTCGAAGCTGTTGTACAATTGTATCTTCGTGAAATAGCTGTTGAGATGATCGCCTGGATCCGTCGTCCCATCATATGCCGGCAGAAGAGGTATATTGGTCCCCGTCGACTCAATCAATACGTTCCTCGCCAGAGGTTGCTTCACCGTGAAGTGTCAGGGTAGACTCCAACAATAATGTATTCGAGATTTTTAACTTTGACTTTATGATAATACACATCCATTTTTTAATTATGAAACTCTAACTAAATATTTGAAATGAGGCATTTTAGTGTGCTTTATAGTATTGGTGCTATAAAACGTTTACAGCCATTAGATCATGTTCAAAATATATCAGCCATTAGATCTTATTTAGATTATTAATATATTGTTTTATTTGTTTATGGTCAACCGGTACAACCGGTTGTACGTGAAAAAAGTTTTCGAAACCCATTCTCTTATCCTTCTCCTCTCCGAGCAGATCTGAGACCCTCTTCTCACCGCCGACTTCCAGAGAACATCCTCCGCCGCCGCCTTCGGTACTCAGTTTCCCTTCGCCTGTTGCTCCGCTGCGGTGCTGCCTGTATCTTCTTCTAGGTAAGTTTTTTTTAATGCGGTCTCTGTTATTGAAACTCGTTTTCGGCACCGGCGAGGAGGTTGGCCGGCTACGGTCCTTCTCCAGCCAGCACCAGCTATCCTCCTTTCTATTGTTACTCATTGATGTCGTTTCTTTTGTTAGAAATCATGAATGAGAATTGATTGATTGAGAAAGGGGAGTCGATTGTATAGAGTTTTGTAAACCCTAATTGAAAATTTGCGTTGGTATCTATTTTATAGGTAGAGACCTTTTTTTACTGGAAAATCGTGAAGCACTTCATATGCGAGCTGTGATGGATCTGGAAACGGAGAACAGAATAGCTGCAATGCTTCTCAGAGAAGCTGCAGAATTGAGGCGGCAAGCTGAGAAAGAAGGCGTCCGTGCTTATCTTGAGAAACCTACTGTTAGGGCTCGGCCGAACTCACGATTCCTTACTGCAACTGTTCTTGGAGTACAGCAAGGTCAGTACAACTGCATTCTGATGATTCTATTGCAAAAGTTGGTGGAAGCACGAATATAGAAACTAATGCAGTCGGGAAATAATTCGGTTGTGCTTGGAGAATGCTTCGGATTCTATGGTGGGTTGCTTGCCCAGGTCGGAAGCGAGGGCGCTGCATACCGGGTGTTTTATGAGGTATTCTGATAGAGATTTTCTCAATAGTGAGGTTGCAGGAACTGGAAGTTCTGGAGGTGAGAGTTACTTTTTTTGGGTTTGTTCCTTTCTTTGGACAAAATGAGCACTTGTGTAGTTTCTCTGTTCTGTGAAATTATGGATACCCGAATGGAAAGAATTCATGTTGCTGTCTTTTCTTTTCCATTTTGCAGCAGTTCCGGTGATTGTGATAGTGGTTTCAGTTGTAAGCTGTATTCTGGTGTTGATTGTTGGTGGAGCTATTGGGGGTTATATATGGAAGCACAGATACATAGAGAAGAAACGAAGAGGTACAAATATTAACAATGGGTTTTCTCTTTGATTTAACAAGTTATTTTTTATGTGCGGATATGAATGCTTCAGGATTTATGATTTGCCTTGTTGCTTCAGGTTCTCAGGATGTGCAGAAAATGGTGAAGACCCTGAATGACAGCAGTTTGAATTTCAAGTACTCCACTCTTGAAAAGGCCACAGGATGTTTTGATGAAGCCAACAAGCTTGGACAGGGAGGGTTTGGCTCAGTTTACAAGGTGATATGGCATTTCATCCCTCTCTCTCTCGGCAAGCCTAATATGATTTTTTAGTAGGGTTTTTAGGTACCAGATCTTAATCATGTCAAAAACTCTGCAGGGAGTTTTGGCTGATGGAAGAGAGATAGCTGTGAAGAGGCCGGAAGTTCGGTGGCCGGAATTCCAGCTTCAGATTGTGAACTTGGGAGTCGAAGCGAGGTTGCAGAATGTCTCGGGTTTCTGGTTCTTGGGCATTGGACTCTACCAGTGCAGTCAAAATCGCGTTTTAAGTCGTAAAAATGTACGTTTTTACGTATCTAGGTTACTAAAACGAGTCAGTTTTACCTTAAAATCGTTTTGTACACAGAATCGATAAAAGCGCTCATAGAATCGATAAAATCGGTGAAAACGGGTGAAAACGCGTTTTTGTAGCGATTTTGTGCGATTCCAAACAATGAACAAAAAAGTTCTAATTTTACTAGTGACGGCGTTTTGGGTATTTGAAATATAAAAAAATTGAAAATGGTGATGTCGGGCAGTCCACAATCGATCCGCTCCTGATCGAAGTCCCTAATCAGTAATCACTCGAGCATACTCCAAATTGGTTCCCTCGCGGCTTCCATTTCCACCATTGCTACCGAGGCCGACGTGAGGCCTTCATCCTTGCCAGCTCCGGCCAGCCTTCCATCTCCGACAAGCCTTCCCAAATCCTACTGCCGGCGCTGCCTCCCTCGCTCCACGACTGCAGCTCCAGCTCCAAGCCTCTGACCAACGTTCTGATACATACAAACAAGTTAGATGACACCTGAAAATTGCATTTCGCATACAGATTTTGGTCTCTTTGTGGTCTTCCTTTGCTAGAGAGCAAACCTAGAAAAGGATTGAGATTGAGTTGCTTTACAGTGAGAATGAAGTTGGGTTTTGTTAATTAATTCTTATTCATTTCTAAGTTGCTTTACATTAATCATTTTTTCTTTGATCATTGAGTTGCTTTACGATCTATGTTTATTACTAATCTGATGAGTTTGCTCTACTTTAAAATATGCACAAATTATGTTATGCTGAGAAATTACATTTTAAACATTTAACTGCAGGTATTTCATGGATTTTTACATGGTCCACGTCGTACTTAACAAATTTTTAACTATTTTACAGTATGCTTCAAAAACTTACGTTTTTACGCTTCGCATCTACGCTTTACGATTTTACCCCTTTTTCGTTTCTACGTAGAATCGCGCTTTTGACTGCATTGGACTCTACAGATATCGACGATTACTGCTTGATTTCGGTCAATCGGGAGCTATGGTGGAAGCAAAATTAATACTCGTCGAAGTTCAGAGGACCTTCGAAGAGCTGCACCTCGAATATAAGCCCTACCTGGTGCTATTGCTACTTGTATGGCTTTATCATTGAGGTTTTGAGGTCTATCTGAATCTTGTCTTCCATTATCATTTGATACAGCTGCTCATCGTTGTCTTTCCCGGGCCAATTTTGTTTTGTGTATGATTGGCAGTGAACAAGTTGGCAACAAATGGTGCGAAAATGGTGATCATTCATAAGCAACTCCTCACGTCGTGCGTCAGTTACTATGGACAAGATGAAGGCACTGGGATTAAGACACATCTCTCTTTGGCCTTTGCTGGAGTCATCACTAGTGGAGAGTTGACATATCAACACCTGCAAAGGTTGGCCATCAGTTACGTTTCGATCCCTTTGGTTGTCAAAGCAATTGGTTTGGAATATGAATCACGATCAATGCGACTTGATGATTTGTAATTGAGCTCTTGAATTTTCGTTATTTGGCTTCTATTACGATGTATTAATTGTTTCCAACCCATGTCCCATTACGTATCTTGTCGACTAGATCCGTCTTTGATGGTCGACTCTGCCGCTTTCTGCTTTGATTGACTATTGAACAGCTTTAGTGCTTAAACAAGTATATATATTGCATTCTGTTTGAGCTATTGTTTTGTAGTTTTCAAACACAGTATGTTATGTTTCTTACACCATTATAATAAGTACAGGGTTAGTTCTACAGGTGAATGTATCTCACGGCCAATTCTGGAAATCTCATGGCCGTGAGATCGCCCCGTGGATGCAAAAATACAGGTCTCAGTTTTTCAGGGATTTTCACGGATTGGATGCAACAATATCACGCTCGTGAAAGAAGTCGTGTTTTTGGATTTGAAATTCTGGAAATATCACAGCCGTGAGAGAGGCCGTGGATGTAAAAATGCAGTTCTCAGTTTCCCATGGATTTTCACGGGTTGGGTTCGACAATATCACGGCCGTGAGATGAGCCGTGTTTATGGATTTGAAATGTTGGATTTCTCACGGGCGTGAGATTCACCCGTGCAATTTTCACATTGCTCGTTCAGACCCAGGGTGCCTCACGGCTTGTAATTAAACTCTCACGGGCGTGAGAATAAGCTGTGATATGGAAACCACTCCGATTTTCTCAGGGGATAGTTCAACAGGTGAAAGTCTCCTACTGGAAATCTGACACCTCATACTGGTAATCTCACGACCGTAAAATGCTCAAGTGAGATGTAAAAAGTAGTGCTTCATTCCTCAGGTAAATCTCACTGTCGTGAGATGTCCCGTGAGATGCAAAGAGCAGTTCTCACTATACCAGGAAATTTCACGGCTACTACTTGACATTGTCACGCCGGTCAAAATCTCACGTGAAATTGAAACACACAACTGCCACTCAAACGTTTTCACATCTCATTCAGGTAAAATAACGGTTGTGGAATTAAGATGTACCTACACTTTCTAGAGTTGTACCTTTACACTAAACTTAAAGTTGTACCTACACTTTTCTAAAAATCTTCTATGGTACAATTCACAATTGTACCTATACACTATGGTACAACTTAATGTTGTACCTACACTTTCTAACAAATCCCTTTATGGTACAACTAAAAATTGTACATATACTAATGGTACAACCTTAAGTTGTACCTACACTTTCTCAAAATTCTTTTATGGTACAACACAAACTTGTACCTATACCATGGTACAACTTTAATTTGTACCTTCACTTTCTAATAAATCTCTTTATGGTACAACTCAAAATTGTACCTATACTAATGGTACAACCTTAAGTTGTACCTACACTTTCTCAAAATCCTTCTATGGTACAACCCAAACTTATACCTATACCATGGTACAACTTTAAGTTGTACATACACTTTCTAACAAAAACCTTTATGGTACAACTAAAAATTGTACCTATACTAATGGCACAACCTTAAGTTGTACCTACACTTTCTCAAAATTCTTTTATGGTACAACCCAAACTTGTACCTATACCATGGTACAACTTTAAGTTGTACCTACACTTTCTAACAAATCCCTTTATGGTACAACTCAAAATTGTACCTATACTAATGGTACAACTTAAAGTTGTACCTACACTTTGTGAAACAAATTCTTCAATGGTACAGCTGAAACTTGTACCTATACGATATGGTACAACTCTAATTTGTACCTACACTTATATACAATGATTCATTATTTACAAGATTGCCATTAATGATGTGGGACCAGTCATTTAGTGGGTTTACCTCCTCAACATGTCACCTTTTTTTTTTTTTTTATAGCATGGGTGCTATAGAGCATACTAGAAGGGCTCATTTGAAATAACTTTAACATCAATAATATATTCGGGATACAATCTATTGTCCGCAAGGTTTGCTTATGTTATGGGGAAATTTTAGCAATGCTTTGTGTGAAATTTTGAGCCATCCTCGTAATGAGATTGCTGAGTTACTAAGAAAAAATGAATGCAGTCGTACGTGAAATCAGGACCATTACTTAGCTGTTGCATCGTGTTGAATGGATTACTAGAAAACTATATTACGGAGTCCATGGCATGACATGTTTGAAAATTAATCAATTTGACATGAGATTTTTGGGAGTTCTTATTTCAAATGATGTAGTGAGAGAGTTTTGGAGCAGGAAGAGATCCTCTAGTTTCAGCGAGCTAGAGAGCAGTGGGTGAAGTTTGGAGACCGCAATACGGCTTACTTCCACTAGCAAGCTAATATCCGCAAAAGGAGGAACATGATTGAAAGCCTGAAGGATAGCAACGGAGAGTGGATCTCTGACCCACGAGAGCTGGCGGCCTTGGTTTTTGATTTTTTTTTTCTCTTTTGTATCTGCAGGACTGTCAGGATTATGTTGATGATATGCCTAAGCAGGCTTTCCCGAGACTTGAGCATGAGGATCTCCTTCTCCTCCTCCACCCCTTCACGGGAGAAGATATTCATAGAGTTGTGCATGACATGAAGCCTTTCCAAGCTCCCGGACATGATGGATTCCAAATTATTTTCTATCAAAGAGCTTGGCAAGTCGTGGGAAAAGCCCTTATGGACATGGCTATCAATTTTTTCTCTACAGGGATGCTACCAAATAAAGTGGTGGAGTCGACAGTGGTCCTAATCCCTAAAGTGGAGCACCTTGAGATGGTCACTCATCTGCGACCAATCTCACTCAAGAATGTGTGCCTCAAACCTATTACGAAAGCCATCACCAACTGCTTAAAGCCCATCATGCGGAAGCTTGTGTCCCCTCGGCAAAGCTGCTTCATACCAGGAAGGCAGACTACTGACAACATCATTGTTTTGCAGGAAGTTCTGCACTCTCTTAGGAAGAACAAAGGCAAAAGGGGGGGGGTATGGTGCTGTAAATAGATCTTGAGAAAGCCTATGATAGACTTCGGTGGGACTTCCTTCGGGACACGCTTAAGGAGATTGGTCTGCCTAGCTCCTGGATCAACTGCATCATGTTCTGCGTGGAGAACAACAGGATGCGACTTCGGTGGAATGGAGAACTCTCAGCCCCGATAACTCCTACCAGAGGAGTCCGCTAGGGAGACCCCCTTTCACCCTATCTTTTTGTGTTGTGCATGGAAATGCTCTCTCATAGGATTGATCAGGCTATTCACGATAAAATGTGGAAACCCCTGCGACTGTCTAAAGAGGGGCCTAAGCTATCTCACCTATTTTTTGCAGATGAAATATACTGTTTGTAGAAGCTGAAGGTGCACAGGTTCGAATCATTAAGAAATGTTTGGACGAGTTCTGTGGTAGCCGGCCAAAGAGTTAACTACAACAAGTCAGCTATCTTCATCTCGGCCAACATTGACAGACTGGCAGCGGGAAGATTGGCACACTGGGCTGAAATTCCACTCACTGTTGATATAGGGCGTTACCTTGGAGTGCTGGCAATTCATGGACGAGTAACCAAGATCAGATATCAAGATCTCATGCTCCGGATCCAGAGGAAGCTCGCCCCATGGAAGACGAAGCACCTCTCACTAGCAACGAGGATCACGGTGGTTAACTCCATTTCGACTTCTATTGAAATTTATCCTATGCAGACAGAACTTCTCCCTTTGAATGTTTGCAGGTCTCTTGATGGGATGAACAGAAGCTTTATTAGGGGGAGCACACCGAGCCTTGTTTTGGGTAAGTCCAAGCTTCCTCCTAGCCGCATGGAGCTTTAGATCGGGTGGAAAGCACCCCCTGAGGGGTGGCAGAAGATACATGTAGATGGGGCTGCTGACCAAAACCATGGTTTGGCCGGCGCGGGGCGAGTTCTTAGAGACAGGAGGAGCAGGTGGCTAGGCGGTTTCGCCTCAGGCCTGGGAGCGTGTTCAGCTACCATGGCTGAACACTGGGTTATTTACCATGATCTCAGATTGGCGTGGAACACTGTATGTAGGGCACTCCTTTTGGAAACAGACTTTAGTTGGCTATTCA